TTATTTTTAAGTACCTCTCTCGTCACTGAAAAATTAATGCATGAATTTTAATGAAATTCTCTTTGTTTTGATGCTGAGTACCGCAACGTGGTGGACAGATGTTTTATATGCCCAACGTAATCTGTTCGTCTCTTTTTACAGTCATCAAGCTAATATAATCTTTTAGAATACCAAGAGAGAGAGAGCTTTCTCAGCGCTATGACCCGATAACCGTTAATTTTACAGAAAAACTATAAGAGACATTTTTGTAGACAATTTTATGAGGAACATTTGCAAAATGGTCGCGAAATATTTGCAAAAAACTGATTTTCAATGAATTCAGCTCACTAGGATTTTTTCCCCAGATTGCTGTTTAAAATGCCTAAAATGACTGGACTATACACTGATGTACATGGACAAATTATTTGATTCTTTCTTTATTTGAATTCAATAAGTTCCGAAACTGCTTGACCGATTTGAAAAATTATTTCATCACTAGCCAGCGACTCCGTTCGCGTACAATAAAGACTTTCTGCAGATTTTTGGTATAAAAAACTATCCTATGTCCTTTCTCGAGTTCCAAACTATGTCTATACCAAATTTCATAGAAATCGGTTGAGTAGTTTAGGCGTAAAGAAAAGACAGACAGAGTAACTTTCGCATTTATAATATTGGTTTGGATTGAAAATAAATGTAAGTATATTATCTATCTGTCGTGTCGTGATTGCGTTTACAGACATATAATTTCACATCCCGAGCGTACGGCGCGTAGCTTCCGCGCGCGCCTCAAAGAGCCAATAGACCACCACAGACGGGGCCCTATAGGGCAGATGTTCACCGGGGTTGCGGGGTAAGCGCAATGAGGCACCGCGACCACGGCCGAGAGCAGGAGAAGGAACAGGGGGTTTTTAGTCAGTAAGAGTCTGACACTCCCTCCCGCCCGGCCCTGGGCGGGAGAAGTCATTTGATGATTTTCCCCTCACAAAAAAAAGACATACAATTTCACATACATTTGTGAATCACACAAAGAGTTGTTCCATGCGATAATCGAACAACACAGTGACACGGCAGCCAACCGTGCAGTCGAATCAAATCTGATATATTTCGCTATGCGGACATACTCCAAATCAATCATACAATCCTTCTACTTAATCAACCTCTTAACAAACATTAAGGCACGTCTCCTCCATACAGATGTATAATCAAAACTTGTAACTGTTTGAAGTTATTGTCACATTAACCAATACGGCGTCGCGGTACTAAATTGGAGGTAGAATAAGTCATTAGTATGCAACACATAGCCATGCTGGCGTGTGTCACTTACCCTATGTGCTGTCACCTGCGTTCCGCCTGTGTCTTCGCCCGCAAATAATTTGGGTGGCTTCTCTCGAGTATTTTCTAATTCGTACAGCTATTTCAAAAGACGTGTTCGTTTATTCTGTTGTCCTGGTACTTTTACAGTTTTAGGACTGCATAATTAGCAATTATCATCTAGTAAAGAATCCTACATTTTTTAATATAAAAAAGTAGTATGCATATACATACATACACAAACAGTGACTTATGTATGCATGTACCTATATATACATAAGTCACTGTTTGTGTAAATTCTGCAATCATGAAAGGGTTATTTTTATTCGTCTAGGAGTTTTGCATGGATTAAAACTACTTATTCGATCTTGCTACACAGTTACGTGAGTAAGCTGTTAAAAATATTTAGTGTATCACAAAAAAAAAATACCTTATTTGTTATATTAGACCATTAATGAGCCATTAGATTACCACAGATCCCCATAGGAATGATATGTTCAGCCGGGGTTGTGGGTGCAAGCTGCAAATGCAAAATGTGTCGCACGAGAAAAAACGGCACAATTTTAAGTCAGTAAGAGTCTGACACTAGCTCTCTCGCTCCACCTTAAAAGAAACAAGTCAAGTTCTCAAGTCAAAGTCAAGCGATGATTTCCCCATCAATAAAAAAAACAAGTATAGTAGTAGGTATCTATTATATGCACATACACGATTATTCTGAATTTATTGGACGTCAGTTCTAATACATAAATCGTTCAATGTTTGGTTATAGATTCTTCAACCACGATTTATGCTAGGCATATGAAAAAGAAAAATGTGTGTAGGTAACACATATTTTTCTTTTTATCTTAGACGTGAAATATGAATAAAGAAAACATGAGATGAACTTAATGAATTAATATCATAAAAATAACAAACTTGTATTAATTATGTAAGGAAGAATTGCTATCTTACCCTGGAAATTACGAATATTCTTGGAAACATGAATCACACATGCAGATTGCGCCGGTAGTAATTAATGTAATTATAAGTAGAAAAACTTAATACAATTTTATGAAACAGGAACGCAGAGGTTGCTTATAACTTCCCCTCATTAATATTGGGTATTTCCTCAGATTATTTTGTCATAGTAACAATCAAAGGACGAAATATAGGCTACACTGTTTTCTGCTATTAACAGTGTAGATGCATTTTAGTTTTAAGCTTTTTTCAATATATTTTCAATCCTGTGTTTGTTTTTCGAAATTTTCAATGAGATATACGTTTTTGCAACCATTTACTACCTTAATATTTTCTGTCAAGACAATTGTGTTTTAGTGATTAATTACCATCGTTATGATTTTAATCTAGATTGCACGGTTGGTGCGGTAGCTGGGCAACTGGCTGCCGTGCAACGTGTCGCGGGTTCGATTCCCGCACGGAACAACTCTTTGTGTAATCGACAAATTGTTTTTCCGGGTCTGGGTGTCTTGTGTATGTGAAAATGTATGTTTGTAACAGCACCCGCGACACAGGAGAAAATCCAATTGTGTAGCAACGTTTTTTTTAAACAAAAAATCTAGAAAACAGACTTGGATTCAGTTAAAAACAAAATAATTGATATTTTTTTCAAGTACAAAGCATTATTTTGCAACTTTGGTAAATAACATGAACTTAATCATATACATATTTTATTATTAAATACATAAAAGTAGATCAAGAAAATTAACTTGTGATATACAAGATAATTTTATTATAAAGCCATCAATCGATTTATTGGAAAGTAGCCTTCGAGAGACTCAAAGTGCTCGTCCATTTGAATAACAGGAAGCGTACGGCTCGACGCCGGAAGTGGTCGTGATGCGGGATAACTTTTGGTTCCGGTACGAACCTGTCTTGTGACATGTTATTAGGTACATCGCGAGCCTTATTGTGTGGATATGATATATGCGTCACAGCCTTCAAGCTGTGTTAAGTTTGTGTATATTGGAGGTTGTGTTTTGAAACTGAGTGAGTATTAAATCTATATACACATAAAAAAGTCACTGCCACTTTTCGTTGTAATGTTAGAACTCAACAATGCATTTACCGATATCGCTAATTTTTGTCTTGAATTATTTATAGAAGTCCAGAAAAGGTTTGTAGCGTAGAGTAAAATTAAAAAAGAATATTGAAATAGTGTAAACTCGACATCAACGTGGGCGGAGCCGCGGTCGACGGCTAGTTATTTATAACTAGCCACTTCCGTATGGTTTCACCCGCTACTCAACTCCTCTTTGTCTTAGTGTAGCATGTAAGATAATAATTCTGACTATGCACATTTAGATAATTCTTATAGGTATTACAAGGGCAATTTACACAAATCCGAAAAGTATAAAAAAACTTTCTATCCATCAAACAACATACGCGTATAAGCAACCAGACTCTTCAGCTTACCTGAGTTCGTTCTGGCATTTCTTCTTCTTCTTCATCATCTAGTTTTTGTACATATGTATAATTTAACGTATAGAAGTGCCGTTTTGTGGCCTATTTGCAATAATAAATTCATCGTTTCATTGTAACCATATTATTAGTTTAACTATACTTAGATACTGCCAACAGCTTCGCCTTTAGTACCGGGGCAAAAAGTAGCCTATGTTTTTCTAATAACTACTTCCAGATTATTATAAATCCGTTATTTCATAAAAACTAACTTCATTTATACTTACAAACTTTCGCGTTTGTAATACATATTAGTATTATGGAATATTTCAAAATTAAGTACCAGCAAGGAAGTCTACTAAATCAAATCAAATCAATCAAATCAAAATCATTTATTCCAACTAAACCATAAATAGGTACTTTTGAAACGTCAAAATAGAATAGTAGTCTGTCAGTCTGTTCGTCAGTGAAGCTAGGTAAACAAACATCAATGAAAATATTTATAGAACACCTATCACAATTTTTACTTTTTTAAAGAATAAAAATCGAGGAAGAGGCGTATCACACCTACGGGAAGCCTTTGACAGCAACATTGTATTTATAAGCGCTCCTACGCTACGTAATAAGAAGCGTTTCCTCTAAAAATACCCAGAAATAAATCCTTAAATGTCATTTCCTATAAATGGGTATATAAGATGCAAGTTTCCAAGTCAAGTACATGTATTATAAGTTATTAACGTTTTATTCTTAGGTATAATTTAAAACAGCAGTGCCAAATGCCAAGTAAAGGCCTCTTCTTGTACAAAGATGGTTTAAGCTTTAATCACTAGTCTTGCTCAAGGCGGAAAGGCGATTTCAAACTTGTAATCAGAAATTATAAGTCTAGAGAAAGCTGTTTTTCTTCATCGTATGAGAGCATATACATATAAAACTACGAAAGAACTCAATTTTAGCAGTTATAACCGTTAGGGAGTTTGCATTGAAAGGTAATGCATCAAATTTAAATTTAGAATACCAAAAAACTCGTGCAAATATCGGTGCAGAAAATGTGATGGAAAAATTCAAATAAATCTAATAAACATTTCAAATCGAATCAAATAATTCACTGCGCAATCAATTAATCACCCATCAGCGGAAATAAAACAAAATTCATTTCTATCGACTAAAACCCCGTGGGATACAATTAGAGATCAAATCAAAGAGTTACTAAAACTGTTCACAAATAATAGAATAATGACATTAATTGAGTGCCAAATGGTAGGGAAAAATGGACGTTGTATTGGTCCCGTCCGCACTGAGCTGTGTCATGTCTAATGCATAGTAATGAACTTGGAAATCCGGACCAGAATGCTCTGACCACAAAGCAAAGAGCAAGAGGTATGAATCCCAGGGTCATTTCCCTATCCAATGACCATCGCATATAGTATGGTTATGTGCAACGCCGAAGCAACGAATTGACGTGATTTTTTGAATATTTTTATTTAGGCCAAGTTTGTGGACCGTATAAGGCCAGTGAATGGGTGATTTTGGAGCAGTAATATATGCGGTTTTCTTAAGATAACATTTTGGGACTAAAAAGTATGAAGTTCGTGCGTGTGTCTTGATGTCACCTAAACATAGACAATTTTAAGCCTATTGGTACTTATTTATAGCTGTTAATGAACCTCAACTCAGTCGGGATTCTGAGGAACTTCACATCACATCTTTAGCGTATAAGTGCCCACTGCTCGGCAAAGGTCTCTTCTCACACGAAGGAGGTCAGAGCATTAGTCGCCACGGTTACTCAAGGCGGATGGTCAGTTATGTTATTTACTTATGATAAAAAAAATATTAATCCAGGTTTCCTCACGATATTTTCTGTCATCATTTATTAGTCGTTTCTATAATATATGCTTGGAAAATACATGTAACTCAGAAAATGACAGGTTTCGAAATTTCATGCAGGATTAACCTCGAGGCCACTAAAATTTATGAGGAAGTTAGTTATTATAAATTATTTAATTGCACGTTCGTAGTCATTTCACCTATCCTATATAAATAAATAGCCTTTATTTACAAAATAAAATAAAAAGGGTCAAATTTAGAAGAACACGTCTCTTCTCTCTGATACTTTTTACTGCTGTCACTTAGAAGATGCGGGCATTTTTTTTTCTTGATCAATATAATCATACTTATATATACATAATTATTTAACTGTGTAAACTAAACAATGCGAAACAGTTTCATAACATCGGGCAAAGATAATGTTAATGCCATTTTAATTTATAATAAAGATCTCAATAGACCATTATAATTTTACAATACCCCGCACTTATTATGCAGTAAAGAGAAGAAATAAATATTACCTAGAAAGATAAACAATTCTAGAGTACACTCATCGCGTCCATTCTCCCTCAGGAATGGAATGTTGAAGCCAGAGTTCAACGGAGCGCATTTATTTATTATTGTTTAAATCATTTTATTTTTGCTCTACAGAATGCGTTGTGTGCATAACTGCGGTTCACGAAGTTTTTGGGTTATAAAGCAAAATTTACCTATTGAAAAATTTTTCAATCAAGAAAGCATTTATCAGATGTGGAGGGAAATTTTGAAATGGGAGACTGTTATCTTTTATTTAGGAGTATGCAATTGTTTTTCTTACTTGTTCATATAGGTAATATGAATTATTTACTTGTGTTTTCTTTTCATTTTACAATAATACCATAAATATCTTGCACTCTCCGAAGTAGATTTTTACATAAAAACCATTTATTACTCAATTAGACCCCATTGTTATTTTGTCTCGATTTATTTATCAAGGTTAAAAAGTTAAAAGGTAACAATAATGAACCCTACCTCCACAACTCAAGACTGTTTCAAGTCACCCTTTAACACCTTTCTGGAACCTTTAATATAATTGTGAGCAAAATAAAACGTTTTGTACCACGGATCTAACCGCTCGCGCTCAGATCGACGTTTTGTGTTTATTCACATTTATATAGTAAAACAAATGGCTGATGCTTTAAAATGCGCGCTGTAGTGAACAGGGGAGTATTATCAGTAATTAAATTAGACTTGCAAACGTACAAACGTAGGCGTAGTCTACTTAAGTAAAGCTACTTCGAACATTTATTTCATTCACACAAACATCGAAATTTAACGTATTTCACAAAATAATGTTTTCAGTTTTCGTTCGTTGCAAGCTCGAATTCATCAAGTTTCGGGTTGCCGAAACATTTTTGCTTTGAGCGCAACCCAAATGGAATTGTTTACGTGTCTGCGAGATGAGATTATTTTTATTTTAGAGCGGTCTTTGTCCGTCTCGTTAAACAGCGAGGTTAATAAGATTTTAATATTAGATGTGAAGGTGACACATTGTTGCGTGTGGTTGTACGGCCTACTGTATCGAGTTTACGATCCAGAGAGCTCGTAAAGCAAGTATTACTGAAGGTACAGCTATCAATAAACTTTATATTGTTAAACTTTCACAAATTTTGTCGGAAATGAACTCCGCACCTGTTCAATTCCTGTTGGATAACATTGAAACATTTGTTTCCCAACAGGGTAAAGAATTATTATCGTAAATATTATAGAGAAATATGAAAGCGGGATCAGCACGCATAATATAGGTAAAGATTATCTGATGAAAGGGTGCATTGTAAAATTTTCAATTGTATAATGATAATCGATTTAATTTTGCTGCAGCTCACTCGCTTACGATAAATTTCCACTGTTTGCAAAGCACCCATTATAAAATTGTTATTAAAATAATGTTACTTATGCGTGTTAAAATTATGTATGATACACATTTTTCTCAAAAATGAGTTCTGGAAATAAAGGAGTAAGGACAAAGTTGAGGTTAATCAATCATTTTTTGGTGACAGAGTTTTGAGTTACGCAGGAAGTTTTTTACCCCAATGTTGGAAATTATGTCTTTGCGTTGTTTGCTGATAATCTACTTATTTCGTTACCCGTGTTAATATACTTAATATAATAATTACTCTTAATGTGATTCATAATTTAGGGATAGTACGAACTGTTCGAACAAGTTTGAAATTTGTACAAGTCTCTAGAAATTTTAGCATCGAATGAAAACCAAACGTGGCACTGCCGGTTTGATTTCCGCACGGAAAAACACTTTGTGTGATCCACAAATTGTTGTTTCGGGTCTGGGTGTCATGTGTATGTGGAATTGTATGTTTGTAAACGCATCCACGTCACAGGCAAATATCCTAGTGAGGGCAATCGTTATCTTTAAAAACACACAAAAAATATCACCACTTAGAAAATCGTTCAAACTAAAACTGCCCCATCAACGTAACATATAAGTGTATCTTATTTGTACCCAAATATCCTGCATTTGACGACAAGTATAGTTTTTACAGTACACTATATTTGTTCAGCCTTAAGACAACGTATTTGGAATATGGCCAAAAGTGTGTAGCGTTCCCGCCCAACCTCTATAACAGTATAATACAACCACATTGAAACAACCTCCCACCTACAGGGAACCAAAACTTGTGGAGTAGGTCTCGTAAAAAGCCGAAGTTATTGTTTATGAATATGGTTTTCCATTTTTTTCTTTCTCTCTCTTTTTTATACTTTTATGTTTACGTAAATAGCACCACACCTACTTATTGCGTTCGAAACTTACGAAATTCTTTAGGTTCCCAGATCGATCGAGTGCTTAGATTATATTTCGTTTTCAACATGTCTGCACTGGTTAGTTCTTTGAGATGGTAGATGCTCCATTTATAGTTTGTTCGATTCTCTGCTTTTACGTTTAGTTTAACGATCTTGATTGTTAAAATGATTCAAGAACCTTATAAGAATAATTTATTTTATTATATCGTCTAAATTAAATCCAAAATACTTGGCCTGCTGAACCCTACTACTACTAGAATGGTTATTAGTAGCTTAAATTGCATTTGATATCAGTCTAGAATTGTACTTTGTTTTTTAATCAGGCGCAATCCAGTAGCAAGTCCTATTTTATTAACAATCTTCATTTGTTTTCGGGAAACGAAAACTTACCTAGAATTACAGCTGTTTATGAGACCAAACTTCAATATTCTCGTGCATTTTTTTCTATCTCAACCGAAATAATGTTGAAAATCAATAAACCCTAATACCTCAAGGATTATTAATCAACAGGAAGATTAAACTCGGTCTGTCCAGGAACGTTTAGGTAAATATTAGTGGCAACAGACAATTTGAACCGCTCAGTTAGTGGCTCGTTGCCAAACTTTGCGGTTACTTCCAGTGAGTTTTCGGAACCCCAAGTGTATTAACAGTATCTATCGATTGACCGCTTAACTATTTTAACAACTAGAAGATAGTACCGGAAACTTTGCAAGAATTTCTAATAACTTTGAATATTTCAGCGGCAAGAATTTGGTACCTTACGTAACATTATCTAACGTGATTCAGGAACTTAAACTGTGGCACCTAGTCTCCATCCAACCACGGTAATGTCTATTATTCCTAACTTGAGCAAACAGGGATATTTTGTGTTTACTCTTGGCCAATAGTAGGTTTAAGGGGAGGACTTCTATTTCATCATCTCTTCTTCTTCATTGGCAAATAAGTAGACGGTTCACTTAATGGCAAGGAATTGGCTTTGCCCATGGACACTGGCTTTTTGTGATGGGCAAATTGGGAATTGGCGTTTCGAGGTTTGGAAATAACCTACAGTTACGTCATTTAACCGACGAACGCATCGTAAGATATGCCGTGAGGCTATAATATCATACATGTCATGGCGGGATTTTCGTGCCGACATGGCCCACCTGCATTAAAACAAAGGCCTCCGATTAAATTGGCGGATTAAATATGAGACAATGCTATTAATTTTTAGGAAAAGCGGATTAGCACACTTCAAACAAAACTTCAAGCAATATTGCAATTCTAATTCATATTCAGTCTTCTAGCTTTTATTGGTCCTGTTACAAAAACTGGTCAGTCAAAAGGGAATTTGCATTGCGAACTGAAATTTGCATGCTGTGTTCGCAAAAATAAAAGCAGCATACGGCACCCATCGCTGAATGAACGAGCAGACTGATGAGTCTCTTATTCCTTTGGCTATATTTCGAGACTTGGTATTTTGAAATAATGGGCGCTACTTAAATAACTACCCGTCTTTCCCCCTGCTCCGAGCTGCGAGTGCAAGCGTAAGTATATCATCATCAGCCCGGTTGGGCCCATCGGTGGAGGTCTTTTTAAGACGCGCTCTGAACACTACAGCATACACATGTACGCTCAGGTCTGGTTTTGGTTGGGTCTGCGGACGGCTATCAGGGTAGCACGCTGGTTACCGCGCTTATAGAGGCTGTAGATCCACGTACTATCCTCGATGCCCAATCACTTCCCTGAGGACATGGGACGGTGCTCAGACCAAGCAGTGCATCAGATGGGCCAGGCCGGATGGTCCTTACAGTAGTGAAACCTGGGCGCTTACTTCCGCTAAGAAGCTTGCACGAGATAAGAGGGTCTCAAAACATACCTTCTATGGACATTTTAATTGTGAAATTCGCCAATGGGATATTGTATGCATTGGGCTTAAAATGTCAGAAAAACTACGGTCATGAATATTTCCGTCTTTCCAAATCCTCCTCAGCCGCAGGTGATAGTAAACATTCAAATGTATAAGAAACTTACAATATACTTAATGCATTCAGATTTTCGCACGCCTATCCGGTCAAAACATCTTCTATTGATTCTTAGGGACAGAACCCTCGGAAATAAAAGGGTTTTAGGGACGATATACAGAACTACATACAATAGATTGGCAATATCAATCGACACTCTAAACTGTCA